CGCTAATTAACCACATCAAGAAATCAAGTCCATAGGAAAGCTGAAACTAATTTTATTGAGATTGACTATAATAACAGAATCTTGCAAATCTGATGTGTGTACCTCCTCCCACTTCTTATATTCCAGTGAGTTAGGGAGGTGTCTGTCTGAGCTGCTTCCAAATGTTATCTGGATGTTGTGGACTTAGAAAATGTTTTATCCTTTGTCACTTCGTCACTTTGGCAGCACAGTTTGCATATCTCCATCATGATCAGGATTCATCCAGTAATCAGGATTCATCTGTCATATTTCCCTGACTCCTGTTTTTTTTTCATCTTAACTTTCACCAGACACATTTTCCAAAATATATTTTATTTCGGGGGTTTTTTAAAGTCAATGGAGAAACCAGACAAAAACTGGGATTTCAGTCAAAAGCTTGACATCTAAACAAATGTTTCAAAAGCCTTTCAGCTGTACTTCAAACTATCTCAGAAGAGTCAGAACTTAATGTTACATTCAAGACGCCTGAGATTAAAAAAAAAGAGGTGAAGGTGACTTCCAAAAGGGTTTTGATCAATTCTTTTCTTGGTGGTCAAATTACTTATCCACCTGTTATTTCTATCAGCTACCTTGTGATTTCACTCTCTAGTAAAAAGAAGCCATTTTGCTTTATTTGAAAGAGAAAGAGAAAAAGGCAAATCAATATTGACTGAATTCGCGCATTTATCAAATCATAGTTTGGTTATCTGCACAAAAAGTCACAATTGATTAGTTTTACAGCACTCATTAAGCCAGGGGTCTTCAAACTTGGCCCTTTATGACTCGTGGACTTCAGCTCCCAGAATTCCTCAGCCAGCATGCCTGGCTGAGGAATTCTGGGCGTTGAAGTCCACGAGTCATAAAAGGGCCAAGTTTGAAGACCCCTGCATTAAGCCATCAGCTAAAGCAGAGTTCCCCAACCTTTTGGGGTTGGCACCCCAGAATGGGGGGAGGGGTGAAAGAAGGGATGGTTTCATAGGAGGGGTAAACACATGCGTTTGCTCACATACATGGGGTCGTGAGCGCTCACGCGCAGGGGGCCACAAGCGCCTACAATGCTCATGTTGATGTAAGTGTTCAAGCGTGGGGCTGCAAGCGATACTGAGACACTTGCAGTGATGTGTGCACTCACACATGGGGTCGTGAGCACCAGCGATGCTCGCACAAATGAGGCCACAAACGCCCGTGATGCTCATGGCAACACTCACGCCAGTGGGACTGTCCACATGTGCATATGCACACCAGCCAGATACACGGCCTAGTGGCTAATAGGCCGCAGCCTGGTAGTAGGCCACAGCCCACAGATTGGGAACCCCTGAGCTAAAGAAAATACTGGTAGTCCTCCACTTACAACAGTTCACTTAGTGACTGTTCAAAGTTACAATGGCATTGAAAAAAGTGATTTATGACCATTTTTCACACTTATGACCGTTGCAGCATCCCTATAGTCACGTGATTGAAATTCAGACTGTTGGCAACTGATTCATATTTATGACGGCCACAGCATCCTGGGATCATGTGATCACCTTTTGTAACCTTCTGACAAGCAAATCAATGGGAAAGCCAGATTCATTTAACAACCGTGTTACTAACTTAACAACTGCAGTGATTCACCTAACTTTGGCAAGAAAGGTCATAGATTGGGGCAAAACTCACTTAACAAATGTCTCACCAACAGAAATTTTGGGCTCAATTGGGGTCATAAGTCAAGGACTACCTGTACATTGTAGTATGCAAACTAGGTTGCTGTGTAATTCTGTTCTACAATGTGCAGTTTTTAGAAACAGATATTTAAACAAAGTCTGGAAAAAACACGAGCTACATTTTTCTCACAAAAGAATTTTAGCAATCTTTAATCTTTTTCCCTTAAAAAAAAACAAAAACACCTCAAATGTCTTTTGTCTCCCAGAAAGTTTGGGAAGGATGAAGTCTCCCAGTATCCTGGCTTAGAGAGCAACGTTGACCTGAAGCCTGACCTTATTCCGTGGGGCATCCATACACCATCCATCACTCTGCAGGACTGGAGTCTCGAATGGATGTCTTCAGATGCCACAGCCTCACAAGATGATGACAATCGTGATGAAAAACAGAACAAAAAACCGTACCCCTGGGGTTTAGCGAGAAAAGAAGCTGTACCTGCTTGGAGCCCAAAGGGGGCAGTAGATGCAACTGGCTGGCTACCAGGGTGGCACGGGAAGCGGAGTATTGTGGTAGCAGATGACGCAGCTTTCCGAGAGAAAAGTAAGATGTTAACCGCGATGGAGAGGCAGAAGTGGCTCAACTCTTACATGCAAAAGTTTTTGATGGTAAACTCGGATTAAAAATGAAGTAGCAGCACATAGGGGAAGGGGAATAACATTACGCATAATTAAAGTCAAGCTATGCATTGCCACACTCACGGACCCCCATCAGGGACCAATTCTAGCATGACAGAATGGAAAGACCTATAGAGGCTTAGAAGCTGAATTTGCTCCTGTTCTAAAGGCTTTCCGTGGGATCTGAAAGGCAAATCCTGGTCCCTGGGGATCTTAGTACTTCAAAGCATGCTCTCTTCACTGCTTTCTCCCAAAATCAGAGCCACATAAGGTGTCCTACTCTATACAGCAGATGTTTTTGCACATTACGCTAAACTATAATATGGGTTACTTTGTTTTGGTTTAAACCTGGTTTGTAAATCCAGCCACTGAGATTTAACAACTGCTACTTACGCATTAGCACAATGTATGAATTTAGCCAATAGTGGTTCATTCAGTAAAACATGGTTAGATGAACCAGGACTTGGTCTAGGAAGCTAGTCTGCAAATAGTAAGAGGCTTACTTTGGCAGAGGCTTAATTCAAATTATACCCTTCACGAATTGCAGAGCATGTCATATGTGTGAATGGTGGGCCTGTAAATTGCTTTATTGGCTTGAGACTTTCAATACCTGTCCTAATAAAATATGAGATTTGTTTGCTTTATATTTTTTCTGGTGGGGACATTTGTGAAAAATATGAACAGAACAGCAATGCTTTACAGAGAAAGTCTGAAGACGACTGTGGTTATCACCACATTGTCAATATTTAAATATAGGTAGTCCTTGACTTTCAACGCTTTGTTTAGTGACCATTGGAAGTTACAACGGCACTTGAAAAAGTGACTTGTGACTGTTTTTCATGTCATGTGATCAAAATTCAGACGCTTGGCAACTGGTTCATATTTATGACAGTTGCAGTCATAAATCATGTGATCCCTTTTTGCGACCTTCTGGCAAGGAAAATCAATGGGGAAGCCAGATTCACCTAACAACCTTGTGACTAACTTCACAACCGCAGTGATTCACTTTAATAACTGTGGCAAGAAAGAACGTAAAAAGTGGCAAAATTCACATAACAGCTATCTCGCTTAAAAACAGGAATTTTGGGCCCAATTGTGGTCATAAATCAAGGACTACCTGTAGTAATTTCCTTCTTCTTACAAACACGCCATTTTTAATTTTAGGTGCAGTAAAAGAGCTCAGATGAACTACTTCATTGCTCCTGTCTGGCTTCTCCTGACAGCAAAAACTCTGAAACCAACCTGAACGTGCTCAGCATTCAGTTCGTTTGGCATTATATGCAAACAGGAATCCTGGAGTCTAGGTTTTTCCCAAGGTTTGCTTGTGGCTTATGACACTGGTTTATTAGAAACAAGCCAAATTTCCAATAGACCCCCTAATACTGAATAAGCTGTAGGCTGAGCTATCTGGTTTCATTAGCTTATTCTATTCACCCAAATACTGTCTATTCACAATTAGTATCATAATGTAATATCTGAACACTGCCCTGCTATCTTTCAAATACTATTTACTGTTAATTCCTTGTATTTTTACCATTTTTATTAGTTTTATAATCACCCTACCACGCACATAATTTCTGAACTATAACTTATATGAATGACAAGAGGGATTTTTATCAAAACACTTACAGTATAGACCAGGGGTGTCAAACTCACCATGTCATGTGACGTGTCACGATGTATCGTGACTTTTTTCCCCTTGCCACAGCTGGGGTGGGTACGGCTTCCGCGTGACACATCCGGCCTACAGACCTGCAGTTTGACTCCCCTGGTGTAGACTGTCTTTTCAGAGTCAATCAGTTATCTCTTTCCTTGACAATCTATAGTTTACAGTAGTGGTTCTCAATCTCAGAAATTCTGGCTGGGGGATTCTGGGAATTGAAGTCCACATATCTTAAAGTTCCCAAGGTTGAGAAACACTGGTCTACAGCATTAATGCAATGCACTTGCCAATTTTCTCATGGAGGGGACAAAGAGCACCTGCAAATTATTTCTGCTAGTGTTACCACTGAACCAAACTCAGATTTAATCTGAGTCCACTCACACTGCAACAGCACTGGCCAAACAGACACATACTGGAAGCAAGTTAAGTTAGAAGAGAGACTTTATTCAGTAGACAGTTTACACAGCCTTTTCCTTATGTGAATCGTGATACACAAATGTTGCCCATGCTGGCTGGGGAATTCTGGGAGTTGAAGTCCACACATCTTAAAGTTGCTAAGGTTGGGAAACATTCTTCTACAGGCACCTTCAGCATGCTCTAGACCCCAATTTGTGACCTTCTCATAAAGGTACAAAAACACAGATCTCAAAGAAGTGTGCCAATGTCTGTTAAAAACATGAAGCTATAAGGATAAGAGGAGATGAAAGTACAGTATTGTTGTGTATCCTATAAGTATTTGCATTGGGGAAAAGAATAAGAATGTCCCCCAAGAAGGAGGATTATGGGGGCCGTGCAAGAGAATGAACTACAGAGTAAATGGTAGCTTTAGCTAAAGGGTGACCAGGAGGATTAGCTAGATTAGAAGTGGATTCTTTTGAGCAAATTGCTGAATAGATGAGCAGCGGGCAAAACACAACAAAGGATCTGACCCACACTTGCATGTGTGAAATAAGGAAGGAACTGCAATGCTACAAGCAGCTCTAGAAGGAGCTGGCTGAAGAACACTACTGTTGCATCGATTCTTCTGACATCTGGAGGGGCAGGCGTCCAATCACTCTTTGATCTAAAAAAGAAAAAGCACATTTTGAGGTTTTATCTCAGCCCTGCCCATGTAACGCCCAACTGACTTTGATTCTTAATATCCCATGCTATAACAAATCTAACATAGATTCCCTCTGTTTGGAATCAATGTCTATAGATAAAATAATCAAAACGTATTGTGAACGTATTATTAAGCTCTATTATATATACATACAATGATACAGTATATATCAATACAGTCCATTCTGGGCCTGGGCAACAAAAAAATAGCTACTGGTTCTGCCGAAGTGGTGTGAACTGGCTGAATCCCACCACTGGTTGGGCTGAGAGAGAGTGACTGGAGCAGTGTTTCTCAACCTTGACAATTTTAAGGCATGTGGACTTCAACTCCCAGAATTCCACAGCCAGCAATGCTGGCTGTGGAATTCTGGGAGTTGAAGTCCACATGCCTTAAAATTGTCAAGGTTGAGAAACACTGGCACTGGACCAAAGTCACCCAGCTGGCTTTTAGGCCTAAAATGAGACTAAAACTCACCATCTTCTGGTTTCTAACCTGGTGCCTTCACCTCCAGATCAAACTGGCACTCCTTTCTCTGTGTTATTATGTAATCTTATTATAATCCTTTTATTTTATTTAAAACAAAGATATATCTAGAAAAACGTATTATCTATAAATAAACAGATAATTACTGAGGTTGAACAACTATTACCCAATATGACTTTAGTAAAGGTTCCAAGCAGAATATGTTCTTTTTATGATATCAAAAAGAAATATACCTTTTTGAGTTTAATTCCAAAATATCTATATTATTGTTTATATGGGCTTAAAAAGAAAAGAAAAGAAAATCTCCTAGAAATAATATAGTTAAATGTTTCATTTTTCTGATTGCTCTTCAAATCATATACTATAAATCTTTTGCCTTTTTTATTTTCAAATTTCCTGACTTTTTTACTCCAACTGACAGCAGTGCCCATTGATGCAAGTTTTAAAAACCATACTCTAAATACTTCATAGTTCTGTAATATATATGTGAAGCCAATCTTGCTTAAATTTAGTTAAACATCTGATATATAGATATGATATGAGGCTCTAACACTGGATATTTTAAAGAAGAGATTGGACAACTATTTGCCTGAAATGGTATAGGGTTTCCTGCCTGAGCAGGGGGTTGGACTAGAAGACCTCCAAGGTCCCTTCCAACTCTGTTATTGTTATTCTGTTATTTGTATTCAGAGCTTTGAATATGTATCTTAATAAATTGCAGTATTTTATATGCTCTGGAATTATATCTAATGAAGTAAACTTTGGTTTCATTTCAAATTTGATCCCAAAAATCATCTGGATAATGCCATATACACATTATGAGGTCTCTTACCTAGAACACAATATTTTACTAAAGATTTATCTCAGAGGCCAATGCTTATGAGAGTTCCTGAGCATTGTAAAGATATTAATTCATCCCCACTGCAGTTTTCTTCTTCTCTATTTGTTATTCTTCATGGACTAGATAGAAAGTGGAAAGCAGCCTAATACTGAAATAAAACAGGATTGTTCTTGACTTTTATTCTTCAGAGTTTTAGAGCACTTTAGCCTGCTCTGTCCGTGTCACTTGTCTGCAAAATAGCTGATAAATAGTGTTATATCAGCTGTACTATTTTGGGGACACGAGTTTATAGGCATGGGTTTAATGCTCTTTTGAAAGAGAACTAAATTTGTCTTCAGGTCCGCTAGAAGAGAACATTCGAACTGCGGGGTGCTTGGTGCTCTCTGAGCTTGGTAGTTTTCTTGAAGACATTTCATTACCTCACTAAGTAACATCATCAATGCTAGAAGGGAGTGGGGTTTGCTGATATTCGTCCCTTGCCCTGTGGGTGTTGGTGGGAGTGTTCTTGGTAATTCCCTGCTTAGGCTGTTCTTTACTACCGGTATTAATTTGTTTGTCTGCATTGGTGGTTCCTTGACTGGGGGATTGTTCACTTGATTGCTGGTCTAGTCAGATCGGACGTGTGGAAGATACACATTATAAAAGCAACCAGCATGTTCCTTCCTGCTCACCCCATATTCTTCCTCCATGGTTGTGTCCTCTCAGTCAGGCTAACAGAGGGAGCAGAAATCAACAAGCCAGAAATCAACAATAAGAAAGCTTTGCTTTCAGCTAGTCCTGCAAGGAAATGTCAGGGCTAGCCCTGAGAGACTCTGATCAGTAGCATCCAATCCTCGACTACCATTTAGCCCAAAATACCTGTTGTTAAGCGAGACAATTGTTCATTTTACGACCTTTCTTGCCACAGTTGTTAAGTGAATCACAGCAGTTGTTAAATTAGTTAACATGGTTATTCAGTGAATCTGGCTTCCCCATTAACTTGGCTTGTCAGAAGGTCACAAAAGCTGATCACATGACCCCGGGACACTGCAACTGTCATAAGTATGAGTCAGTTGCCAAGCCTCTGGATTTTGATCACATGACCATGGGGAGGCTGCAATGGTTGTGAAGTGTGAAAAATGGTCATAAGTCCCTTTTTTTCAGTGTTGTTGGAACTTCGAATGGTGACTAAATGAACTGTTGTAAGCTGAAGACTACCTGTACACAAAATATCATCAACACCTCCAAGTAATAAAAACAGTAAAGAATGGGCCCATATAAAATCCCTTATCTATAAAAAAAACAGATGTAGCACTTTTTCATAAGAGTATTGTATAAATCAGAGGTCTTCAAACTTGGCCCTCTTATGACTTGTGGACTTCAACTCCCAGAATTCCTCAGCCAGCCACGCTGGCTGAGGAATTCTGGGAGTTGAAGTCCACAAGTCATAAAAGGGCCAAGTTTGAAGACCCCTGGTGTATATATATATATATAGGAAGTCTTTTAGAAAACACCAGTCAAATGTTATACGTCCAGATGCTCTGTGGAAGCAACATTTCCACTCTCTTCTGCAAGTCAAAACAGCCACAGAGAGGAGGAGGCAAAGACCAACTGGGGGTTCTGGACTTACAACCACAACTGAGACCAAAATGCCCACTGCTAGGCAAGGCCCTCGTTAGATGAGTCGCACCCCCTCCTTCCTTCTGAAGACCCCGTGATGTACTCTCACCTCGGAGATTCAGGTAGGAGAGAAAATCCATCAGCGTCTGGAGGATGCTGTAGTCAGAAGGTTGCAGAACAGGTGCTGAAAGAGGGAGGAGACGGCATGAAGGGCTAAATCGTGGAAAATACAGGGAGAGCTCAGAGAAGCCAGCTAAAGGGCGCTCACCCACAGACTCCTGCCCCACAGAGTACAAGTCCTCAGCTGCATCTCGCTTCCCAGCCAAGGCTCCTTTATCAGGCAATGTCTGGTGGGCATCTGCTTTGGGGAGAGGAGAGTGGGAGGGAAGAAGTGCTGCAGGTTACATGGAAAAAAAGAGAGATGGTTTACACCGGGCTTATAAACCAGAAGTCCCTTATCAACCAAACGGCCTGGTGTTGTTTTATAATCACCCCACTGCCAGGCAGCCACCAAGGAACTATCAGCAAACTAATGTGATAAAGAAGAAGAAGCATATAGAGACCTTACTTCCCCCTTTGTCACAAGTATAAAGTTTTAGCAACTTATTCACCTTCTTTTAAAGCAGGGGTCTTCAAACTTGGCCCTTTTATGACTTGTGGATTTCAACTCCCAGAATTCCTCAGCCAGCGTGCCTGGCTGAGGAATTCTGGAAGTGGAAGTCCACAAGTCATAAAAGGGCCAGGTTTGAAGACCCCTGTCTTAAAGTATAACAAACAATCTTTCTTTCCTGTATTTCCTTCTTATCTACAAACAGATCCTTAAAACTTCATCATTCAGTCCTGGTAAGCAAAAGTCCATTAAAGGTTACCAGAAATAATAATACTGATGCTGCTCTTTAGGGGGTTATCAGGAGCCCCATCCCTGGATGCTGATAGTACAATGCTACACATATTTCCGTAGAACAGTGTTTCTCATCCATAACACCTTTAGTGAGAGTTATTAAGCAATGGGACAGCTTGCCTCCTGGAGTTGTGGGTGCTCCATCACTGGAGGTTTTCAACAAAAGAGTGGTAAACCATTAGATAAGAAATCCTCCCTTCCAGCCTTATGATTCTATGATTCTGATTTTGTGCTGGCTGGGGTAATTCTGGGAGTTGAAGGCCATACATCGTAAAGGTATTGAGGTTGAGGATCACTGCCTTAGAAAGAAATGTCATTAGGTTCAGTAGAATTTCTTCCCCTTAAAGCAGCTTTCACTTTAACCCTGTTTTCTCCTGTCTGTGAAAGTCTGAATCAACTTACGGGGTCCCAGCAGGTATCCAGCACTGTTCAGGGTCCAACCACGTTTGTCTTTGGGCTACAGAAGGAACAGTAAGAAAGGTGATGTTAATGTAAACTTATATTTGCCTCATCTGGATTATAATTCTGTCCCTCCTCCACAAAAGTCAAATTAAAATTTTACAAAATGTAAGACAGTCCCTAGTCCAGTGTTTCTCAACCTTGGCAAGTTTAAGCTCTGTGGTCTTCAATTCCCAGAATTCCCCAACCAGCAAAACTTGCCAAGGTTGAGAAACACTGTCCTAGCCTAATACAGGAATTTAAATTATCATGAATAATAGAGTTTAATTGATGAGAATTTTTTTAAAAAATAATGTTCTTAATGACTAGCTGGAAGCAAGTCCAAATGAAATATTAAGTAGCATGAGAAACCAATAGGCTGGATATTAAAATCAAAATCCTCTCAACGATTACATCCTGCATCAATTTTTAGACTAGGAGAAAGGAGTAGAAATTTAAGAGGACAAAATCCATGATTCGGAGAACCACATTTCCCATTCAAAACAATAATTAAAAAAAGGATCTGCAAAATTTTACTTCAAAGGAATGAAAAAGAGAAACTCATCCTTAGAAGGGAGAAAAATTGCACTGTTCTGTTTCTTTTTGTTCAATACCTTCCAGGTCTGAGAGGAAAATGGAAGATACAAAAAAAAATGTTGCTTTATAAGAACCTTAGTAAGACCACATCTGGAATACTGCATCCAGTTTTGGTCACCTCATTATAAAAAAAGATGCTAAGACAGGGGTCTTCAAACTTGGCCCGTTTATGACTTGTGGACTTCAACTCCCAGAATTCCTCAGCCAGTCTGGGAGTTGAAGTCTACAAGTCATAAAAGGGCCAAGTTTGAAGACCCCTCTGCTAAGACTTTGGAAAGAGTGCAGAGAGGAGCAACAAAAATGATTAGAGGGCTGGAGGTTAAAACATATAAAGAACAGTTGCAGGAACTAGGTATGTCCAATCCATTAAAAAAAAAGAACTAGGAGTGACATGATAGCAGTGTTCCAATATCTGAGTGGCTGTCACAAAAAAGAGAGGGTTAACCAGTTCTCCAAAACAACTCAAGGCAAGACAAGAAGCAAAAGATTGAAATGAATGAAGGAGAGAAGCAACCTAGAACTAAGGAGAAATGTCCCAACAGTGAGAACAATTAACCAGTGGAATGGCTTGCCTCCAGAAGTTGTGGGTGCTCCATCACTGTAGGCTTTTATTAAGAAGAGAGTGGACAGCCACTGAAATGGTATAGGGTCTCCTGCTTGAGCAGGGGGTTGGTCTGGAAGACCTCCAAGGTCCCTTCCAATTCTATTATTCTATATCTTATATTCTCTCCTTTCTGAAATTTTCTTTTAATGGCAAAAAGGAGTTCACATGCTCTGAATGGTATTTTCTCAGAGTGATATACTGTATTGTAGGCTAGATAGCCATGAAAACATATCTATGATTTGCTCTGAGGAAGAACCTCTCAAAAAGGCCATGAAATTAGAGATGTATGAAAATCTTCCCGCATCCAAGCAGCTAGTAAAGAACTGAGACAGAATATTCCTTGTGGGCTGCTACCACCAAGTTTTTCTGGTTGGCTAACTCTTGTGTGAATCACAATAAATCAGACCCCATTTTCCCCTTCACCAATTGGATGGAAATGCCACCGTAGTACAGATATTCTTGGTGCAGATGTTCCTCCATAATTAATCATACATATGCTTTTTAAAAAAACCATACATTTAATACATATGCTTTTTTAAAAAAAACAAAAAACACCCACCACCATGGAGTACTCACACCTGAAATCCACAATCTGAAATCTGGCCGTCCACGGTGCAACCACCGCCTTTACCATCTTCTTCCTTCCGGATGTGAAAGCCAGACCCGGGTACTGTAATTCTCTCCCCCCCCCCCCCGCCCCAGTAAATTGACAAAATAGATTTGGAAGATCTGATACAACTCACCACAAACGCAACTCCAAAACAGTCCCCAAGCAGCGCGCAGAAGAGCAAAGAAAAGCAAAAGACATACCAAGAAATCCTCATCTAGAGAGAGGAAAGAAGAGGAGCAAAGAAAGGATGCTGCTTTCCAATCACATGACATGTCTTCGCTAATAAATTTTTCCTTTGTAGGAAAATAGGATTACAATTATCTTCTTTGGTTTTGCTATCATCTCTGATATTTAAAAGTTAGCAGGGTTTTTTTAATTTTGATAAATAAGCACGCAACAAATTATCTGAAATTATATTGCCACTATGGTTGATAATATACACGTAGAACAGGGGTCCCCAACCCCTGGTCCATGGACCGGTACCGATCCGTAGCATGCCAGCAACCGGTCCACACAAACAAGCAAAGCCCCATCCGTGGAATGCAGGCAGCACACAAAACCACACACTCTCTGGTCCATGGAAAAACCTTTGTCCACGGAACCGGTCCCTGGTGCCCAAAAGGTTGGGGACTCTGGCATACACTATGTTTTATTTAGTAAACTATGATTAAGCAAACTTTGGCTTAGTGTGCTGTGTGAACTCTATAACAGAATAATATCTTTTTTTCTGTGCCTCTCCAGTCATTTACCATAGCTCTACAAGCATTCTGAAGTATAGTTCTTATAACCTACAACCACATCAGATGCTAGAAGACATGGAAATTGCAGTTCCATTAAGGCCACTTTATCAAGTTGCCAAAACCCCAGATGATCACTAGATGGCAGCAGAGGAGGTTTTCTGTGCCTATGCTGCTATTTAGTGATTGTCCAGATTTTTGCATTTCAGAATGGGTTGTTTTTAGTTCCACACATATGGTGAATACTTCCTCAAGAAAATTGCTATTTTTATACTGATCTTATACTGTGTGAATAAGCAGTCCAAACCTGGGTAAAACAATTTGGAAAACTGTTCTGCATAAAAAAAGCAAGCGCTCTCTCGTCGTTTCGATGCTTGCATGATAATTAACTGAGGTTCAGATTTGTCTTCACTCCACGACCCAAGGTCCTATGAGTTTTGACCTCCAGTTCTTGAACATGCTCTGCACTTTTAGAATATTTCATCAAAGTGTTTTGAGACTGTTTACATACCTGAAGGTACATGTTATGTATGCTTGGTAGATACAAGCATATGGACATTTAGCTAATAGGACTCTTGAGTCACTGAACAGCAGCACAACAGGTAAAAACTCTATAGATAAAAGACTTTTTTCAGTGCTCTTTTCTATCACATGCCCACCTTAAAAAACAGTTAGCAACCCATCCATCTCCCACATAAGTGCTTCTGCCAGGATTACCTTCACCCACCACCCACCAAGACCCCCCTGACTCCTGAACCTCACAGATCAGAGGAATCATACCTTCATGTCTTTATGGAATTGCTTGAGCTCCGATTCTCCAGGCAAGAAGAAACCCAAGTTTTATAGAGGGAAGAAACGTGGATTTGGGTGCGTCATTAATCCGCAGACAAAGCATATAAGGATGTCAGTATAATTGACAATAATGGCCCCACAAGGGGGGTATGTTGACTTCTTTTAGTGTTTATTCACATCCTGTGTCAGAAAATGGACAGAAAATTGGGGTAATTAGCCCTACTTGACTACTCAATTAATTGGAGGAGAGCCACTACAAGTAGAAGAAACATTCCATATTGTTGGTAAAGCAGGAGGAAAACAGAGTGCTCGTTGGTTAATTCTCCTTTTGCTAACTTTTATCTGGGAAAGCATCAGTCTTGAACTGTTTCATATATTACCCATCCTCAGCGCCATAATTTCTCTGGTCAGTTTTTTGACATTTACATTTTTAATGGCTCATTGGAGGCCTAATGCATCTTTTTTGTACTATTTATTTATTGTTCATTTATATGCCGCCCATCTTACTTTGAAAATAACTTTTCTCTGCTAATAACAATTAGGAAAACACTAATACTAATTCTCCTAAATAATCAACAGGCCAAAACTTTCAGTCACTTCCATTCCCTTGATATTGTCATCAGGTCCACGAGGCCTTTGGAAGGAGCTGAAAATACAGGTAGTCCTCCACTTACAACAGTTTGTTTAGTGACCATTCAAAGCTACAATGAGACCGAAAAAAGTTTTTCGCACTTGCCACCATTGCAGCGTTCCAATGGTCACATGATCAAAATTCAGATGCAGGGCAACTGACTCATGTTTATGACGGCTGCAATGTGTCCTGGGGTCATCTGACCACCATTTTGTGACCTTCTGACAAGCAAAGTCAGTGGAGAAACCAGATTAATTTAACAACCATGTTACTAACTTAACAATGTGCAGGGATTCGCTTAACAAATGTGGCAAGCGAGGTCGTAAAATGGGGCAAAATTCACTTCACACATCTCTCGTTTAGCAACAGAAATTTTGGGCTCAATAAGCCCTTGATTTCGCAGGTCAGGGAGGAGGATTGTGTATTAAAGCAGAGCTCTCCAACCTTTCCGGAGCTCAAGGACCAGAGGGAAGGAGAGCAGCTTTAAAATTGACGTATGTGCATGTGTGCACATGCACGGGGTCACACACACTGGCGTGGCACTAGCAGCCCCTTTTGCTCCTGTTGCATGCGCTGGCGTCATGCGCATGTGCAAACGGCCACGCACCCCCCACAGTGGCTAGAGGCCCATTCGTGCATGTGCAAATGGGCCATGCAAGACGCCTGGGCTAGCAACATATGTGCAAACCAGCTGTGGACACCTGCCCCACACTAGCATTCCCATTCGTACCCACGCACATGTGCAAACAGGGCCGCAGGCGCTAGCATGAGTGGGGAGGGAAATGCATGTCCACATGTGTGCACACTGGCCATCAGTTTCCACGGCCCGCTGGCCAAGAGCCCAGGGCCCAGTCCTGAGCTGTGGACCATAGGTTGGGGACCCCTGTATTAAAGCATAACATTCCTGAAATCCAAATGGGATTTTACTCATTTATATTTTACTTACTTTGTACCTTGTTTGTTATTCAGTTACTAAGTTGTGTCCAACTCTTCGGGACCCCATGGACCATAGCAAGCCAAACCCTCCTGTCCTCCACTGTCTCCCAGAGTCTGCCCAACTTCAGACCTACTGCATCAATGACCCTCTCTAACCACTATCATACTCTGCCGCCTCTTCTCCTTTTGGCTTCCATCTTTCCCAGCATCAGGTTCTTCTCCAATGAATCCTCTCTTCTCATCCGGTGGCCAAAGTATTTGAGTATTTTACAAATGTATCTTTTGCATATTTTGCTCGTTTTGTAAAATGGGGATGTGATTTTTACAAATGCATTAAAATAAGGGAGGAGATTTTATGAAACATGTAGTACAGTCAATCCTCGAGTTACGACCACAATTGAGCTCCAAATTTCTGTTGTTAAGCAAGAAAGCTGCTCAGTGAATTTTGTCCCATTTTACGATCTTTCTTGTCACCGTTGTAACGGAATCACTGTAGTTGTTAAGTTAGTAACATGGTTGCTAAGTGAAACTGGCTTCCCCATTGATTTTGCTTGTGAGAAGGTTGCAAAGGGTGATCACATGACTCCAGGACGCTGCAGCCATCATAAGTACATGCCAGTTGCCAAGTGTCCAAATTTTGATCACATGGCCACAGGGATGCTGCAATAGTCATAAGTGTGAAAAGGGTCATAAGTCACTTTTTTCAGTGTCATTGTAACTACAAATGGTCACTAAATGAACTGTTGTAAATCGAGGCCCAAAATCACCTGAGAGCTTCTATGAATGAAAGTGGACTTGAACCCGGATCTCCTCATTCCTAATCCAACACTGCTAGGACCCATTTTGGAAATAAAGAGCAATTGGCTCTTTTATATGACAGCTTTCCATTGAATTTGCTTATACTGTAATCTAAAGAAGCTAGGGGGCAATCATCAGAACTTTCTGGGTTGTAAGTGCCTTTGGGGGGGGCGTCATAACTTTGAACAGTTGAATAGAATAGAATAACAGAGTTGGAAGGGACCTTGCAGATCTTCTAGTCCAACCCCCTGCTCAGGCAGGAAACCCTATACCATTTCGGACAAATGGCTGCCCAGTCTCTTCTTAAAAACTTCCAGTGTTGGAGCATTCACCGCTTCTGGAGGCAGGTTGTTCCACTGATTAATTGTTCTAACTGTCAGGAAGTTTCTCCTTAGTTCTAGATTGCTTCTCTCCTTGATTAGTTTCCATCCATTGCTTCTTGTCCTGCCTTCAGGCGCCTTGGAGAATAGCTTGACTCCCTCTTCTTTGTGATAGCCCTTGAGATATTGGAACACAGCTATCATGTCACCCCTTTTCATTAAACTAGACATACCCAATTCCAGCAACCATTCTTTATATGTTTTAGTCTCCAGTCCCTTGATCATCTTTGTTGCTCTTCTCTGCACTCTTTCTAGAAACTCAACATCTTTTTTACATATCTGTCTTTGTCTACCAAAAAGACAAATAAAAAATAATTTGAGGCTTATTTTAGATACACTGGAATACTATGAAATGCATTCAGAAAAACAAATGGCTTTAATTTTCCTAGAGTCTACACGCTCATTTGATAATGTAAGTTGGCAATTTATGATACAACAATTAAACTGTATGGATTTTGGAGAAAAGTTTATAAAAACTATTAAGACAATTTATGATAAACAAACAACAAAAATAATTGTCAATGGAGATTATATGTAGAACTTTAATATAAAAAAAGGTACAAGACAAGGATGTCCACTATCCCCACTGTTATTCATACTAACGTTGGAAGTTCTCAATAGGAACATCAGACAAGATTCAGAAATTAAAGGAATGGAAATAAAAGAAGAAAGTTATAAACTACAAGCATTTGCAGACAACTTAGCATTTATTCTAGAAGAACCTTTGGCTGCAACGTCCAAATTATTAAAGATAGAAGAATTTGGAGAAATAGCAGGATTGAAAATAAATAGAGAAAAAAACCAAAGTTATAGTTAAAAACCTTATAGACAAGCAAAAAACACAATTGTCAGAAAAAATAGACTTACAAATAGTTAAGAAAGTGAAATATTTGGGAATATATTTAACAGCAAGATGTGCAACAATAAAAGAAGATAACTA